CCAAATCGATACATAAAATTAGATCATCACAATACAAAAATGTTATTTTCCATTTTTACTCAGTCTTGTATGAGTTTCCTATGGTAGAGATTCACAGAAGATTCATGACATGTGATGTCTTGACAGATTTAAAGGCAGAGGCAGCTATGAGAAGCCAGATGGCCTCTAAGGCAGAAAGTAAAGACATTGGGGGGGGGGGGAAATGTAAAATAATGCCATTATTTTAATTTTAAAATAATTTTTTAGTAAGAATATTACTTTATGTTGCTGTATAGTGAGTTTACTATATTGTTAGAAGAGTCATCACACATTGTTAACATTTCTCAGTTTTACACTCCAATTTAGTAAATACTGATATATGTGACTCCCTCAAGCAAAAATCTTTGATGTCCTTAGAATGTTTTTAAAACATTCAGGGTGTCCGAGACTGAGACTGAAAAGTTTGAGACCTCCTGGTGTAAAAGAAACAGGTTTGTCGAATGAGCCACACACACACACACACACACACACACACACACACCACAATGGAGACAATTTTCAGGAAGACACATTATTGAAAGGAATTTCTGGTTAGTTGTTTGCACTGGAGGGTGATACTCTTCTTCATCCTTGCTACCTTAAAACCTAACGTTCAAACTCACTGCTGTCTGGTTGCTTCTGACTCATAGTGACTCTACAGGAACTACAGAGTAGAACTGCTCAATAGAGTTTCCAGTGCCATAAATCTTCCAATACAGGGACAAGCTTAAATGATAACGTTTGCCCTTTTCAAGGAGGGAAAAACAAAACTAAATGGCTGCTGTCCAGTTGTTGCCTATTATTGACAATATGTTGTGAGTGAGGGTAGAAATCCTCTCCACAGGATTTTCTTTTTTTTTTTTTTCTATAATTATATTTTATTAATTTTCATAAACATTTATAGAGATTTTGGGCTTCCACTCATTCATTGTTGCACTATTCTCTCTACCCTCCTCCCAGTTTGTTCTTGTCCAAATGCCACAGTGCTTGTCAAAGCCAGTTCTGATTAATCTTCTTTGTCAGTGTGTCCTTTGCCATTCCCTATCACTCCTCCCTGAGAGAGACTTCACCCTGAGTCATAAGGAAAAGGGGATGGCGTATTCTCTTAGCTACTTCCTGCTGAAAAGGGACGCTGTGGGTTTCAGGGTGAAGATCTTCTCTCACTACTCTAAAGGGCCCCTTTGGCAGTAGGAAACACATAGACTATTATGGAGATTGATTTTGGAATTTAGATGCACTCTTATTGATTGTGCTTGGCCGTACATGTTCATATCCTTGAAGATGTATCATGGGGGTGTTGCAACCTAGAAGACACAAATTTGACTAACAAGTTATAAGTACATGAGTCCAAAAATTATGGAAAAGTAAAAGAAAAGATTCTTTCATTGTTTTACAAACCCTCCCCCAGGTCCCTTCCACCATGTAGCCCTCGCTCTAGTCTCCTGTGATGACAGAAATACCCAGTTATATCTCTCTTTTAAACGGTTCTCTCCCTCCTCTGTTTCAGTGCAGTATACATTATTGAACCCATCTTACTCAGTCTCTCCCCAACCCCAAGGACATTCCCATTCTACAACAGTGGCATCATGTAATATTTGTCCTTTTGTGACTTCTCCACAGGATTTTCAATGCGCATCCACTGCCATCCAGTAGCTTCTGACTTTCAGTTTTCTGAGATTGTAAGTCTTTGTGGGAAGAGACCACCCATCTTTCTGCAACAAGGTCTCTGGTGGATTTGAACAAGTGACCTTTCAATATGCAGCCCAACACAAAATATTATGCCCCAAGGATCTTTTTTCATTGGCTAGAATCTTTCAAAAGTCATCAGGACTAGGCTGGACTGGACCCATCCACTTTTACCCAGGGGCAGCCTCCAAGGAGGGAGGAGCCATCCTTGTATGGTTTTTGCTTCCTTGTGTGGACCTAGGAAGCCCGTGGTTGAAAAGAGAGCTGCTCATTATTCTTTAGGGAAAAGGAGACTGTGGGTAAGGGAGGACAAGGAAATCTGAAGAGGATGTCTGGGTGTGTAGCAACCTGATGATAAGGAGCTGCATTGCCAATCCAAAGGCACATGGTTCGAATCCACTAGCTTCTCTGTGGGAGAAATATGGGCAATCAATCTCCTACCATGTGACTTACTCCCTCTTCAAACCTTCTGGAGGGTTAGCTATGAGCCAGTTCTGACTAACAGTAGTAGAGAACAACAAGAACTTGGGTCAGGGTGGAGCTCAAGTTCCCTCTTCCTCCCTTGGATTCATACACTCATCCATATTTTGGAAAGCAATGTTTTTCCCCTTGGTGAAGTGTTTCAAGGTTGATAATGATGTAAAATCAACATGCCCTTATGACTCCCAAGTAAAAGTCAACAACTTGCACACTATCCATAAAGATAGTCAAGGAGACAGTCACCAAATGCTGTCACCTCCATTACTGCATTATTTTCTGATAAGACAGACCTGCCACCCATTAATACTGCATGTGCCCCTGTCTTGCTACATACTGCAGTGCAGATTTGCCCACAACCGAAATAATATTTTTTTTAAAAAAAATTAAAAGCTCAGGAATTTTCACACTAGCTGCAGCCATCAGAGGTTTTACAAAGTACAAACCTAATTAGGCTTGATTCCTAAAAAAATGTCCTTTGTGTGTTTTAATTAGTAGAGAGAACAAATATCTCTAATGTTGAACTAGTGTCATGCAGGCCCCTGTGTCAATGTCCTTCATAAATTCCATGTGCCTTTTACCAGGGTTGGACACTTTGGAGAGCTCTCTTTTGGGAAACCCTCAAGACTGGACACTGAGGAGTATAAACAATAATTTTTTTTTAAAAATCACACTTCTTCTACAACCTTGAATTTGAAATATGAATATATGAATGTAATAGGGCCAGAATAACTATGCAGATTTATGAGGAATATCAATTTAGATTATATCACGGGACCCGACTAGGCCTTTCTTTGTGCTGGTGGGGATTTGTTAAAGTTGGGAGATAGTTTGAGGAAAATGTGATTTCTAGTTAAAGTCATCTAAAAATCAATATTGCTGAAGGTCCCTGACATAAGAGTCCCTCCCAGCGCTAGACTTGCTTCTAAAATTGGGAAGACAGGAATAAAAAATAAAAAAAAAATCAAATCTTGAGTAGAAGTAGCTGGAAATTGCAGCCAGGAGTGAAGCTCAGATTCTACCTCCCCACTGTTTGAAGATGGGCTTGCTTGTTTTTAAAAACAGCTAACATAATTCAGCTGGAGGAGTGAGAAAGATTTTTCTATTCCTTGTTTCAGTACAAATCGATGGATGTTAGCTTGTGTAATTGTCCCCCCCTGCGTTTCCAAGCTAAAATAAAATACCTCATTGCTTGCATTACTGAACGCATTTCTGCGGGCTTGGTGTCTAGGGCTAAACAGTATTAATTAGATAATCCACTGAAAGCTGGCTTGGAGAAGGCAAGGGGAGATGGCAACACCATAAATTCTGGGGCTTTGACTTAGAGTGGAGATAGCAGTTCACTAGGTGGGCTAAAGTGGGGGTGGTGAGCCTCAGGAGAGAGAGAAAAATATTTCTGGGTGGTATAGCCAGTAGTTGAAAGGAGGAGTGGCATCCACTTCCATAATAGCTTGCCTCCGGAAACCCTATGAACCTGGAGAGAGGATGAAAGGCACCCAAGCTTCAAGGACGAGGACTCTCCTTCATAGGGTCGCTATGAGTCGCCTGTGACTTGAGGGCACTTAATTACAACAATAACATAGTCAGTAGAGAGTTGTAATGTTAAACCAAAGGTCACACTTCTCTGGTGGATCTACCAGCTGCTCTGTGGGAGAAAAATGGGTAACCTCCCGTGCAATTCATAGCCTCAGAAAACCAATGGAGGGTCAGTCAGCTAGGAGTAGATTCTGATTCCACGGCGATTGAGTCTACTAGGTGCTTAAGAAAAGCCTTCGAAGATACATATATACGTATATATACATGTACATATACGTATACACACACACACACACACACACAGAGCCAATGATATTTACAGTAAAATGCAGGGCAGAAAAGCCCATGACTGAAGCCAGTTGCAGGGCCACATTTCCTTGGTGGGGAATAAGGGAAAGGGGAGAGGCTCAAGTAGAACTGTAAAGCTCTCTCATTGTCCCGCCACCCGCCCGCCCCCCTACCCCCGGCTTTGTAGGACAAAGTTATCCAAGAAGCTTCCAACTATTAACCCTCTAAACTTCCATGGCGAATTCTTAAAAATTACCCAAGGAACGGGGAAGGTAGGTACTGGTGAAAAGGTGGTCAGCGCACGGGACATGATCTGAGAAGCCATCAGACCAGGCTTGGACCTGAGGTAGACAGCGGGTGTGCCTGGCGAGGGGCGGCGCACATTCCTAGACTCCAGTGATGCTCTTGGCTGATTCTCTTCTTTGACCCCTATGTCACCCTGGAAGCTCCTAGCCGAGGCAGGTCCAAGAACTTGGGCAAGGGCCTCTCATGCGCGGGGCCACGGGCTAATTTCAGGCTCTTACTGCCCCTTTAAGGGTTCCTGAAACTTTCCCCCCGTGGTAGCAGAGAAGCCTCGTCACATCCGTTGGCCTTGGCCGCTGGGGCGCGTTCCGAGGAAATTAGGAACTCGAGTTTCCCGGGCAAGAGGTGCGGTCCAAGGCCATCTAGAGTGGGCAGCATTGGCTCCGCGCGTCCCCAGTGAGCCCCACTCCCAGCCTTGACCTTGGCCTCAGAAGAGGGGCCAGACGTCTGCGGGGCAGCTGGCGCCCGCCAGAGGGGGCAGCGGCAAAGAACTTGCTCAACTTGGTGGCGTGCGCTGGGGCGGTCTCCGCGCTTCCTCCTCCTCTTCTAGATCCTCCTCCTCCTAAAATCCTCCTCCTTCTCGACTGGATCCTCCTCCTTCTCTAGATCCTCCTCCTCCCCCTCCTCCTAGCCTGCTTCCCCGCTGCCTGAGCCGCCGCCAGCTGGCCCCGTGCGCACTCAGCCTGCAGCCCCGCAGCGCTGGGCAAGTCGCGGAGTCGCCGCTGCAGCCGCCGGACGGGACGGGTCGGGACGCGCGTGTCCCCCGGGCCCCGCCGCTGGCATGGGCGCGCTGGCCCGGGCGCTGCTGCTGCCGCTGCTGGTCCAGTGGCTCCTACGGGCAGCTTCGGCACTGGCCCCGCCACCCTTCACGTTGCCCCTACGGGTGGCCACGGCCGTGCCCCGCGAGGCTTCGCCCACCCCAGGGGCCAGGGCCGCCTCAGTGCCGCCCGCCAAGCCCCGTGCAGACGGCCTGGCGCTTGCCCTCGAGCCTGCTGGGGGCGCGGCCAACTTCTTGGACAACCTACAGGGGGACTCGGGCCGTGGCTACTACCTGGAGATGCTAATTGGGACCCCTCCGCAGAAGGTAGGTCTTTGGACGCTCGCTTGTGCGAGGCTAGTTCCACATGGGTATCGCGGTGCCTCTGCCATGTCCTGACCGTGGGCTGTGCCGGAGCTCTTGGGGTTCCAGGTGATGCGTGCGCGCCTAGTGACGCCCCCAAAAGCATCCTACCCGGGGGCTCTAGAGAAGGCAGGAAGGAATACAAGGAGGCAGTGGGGACGTTTGGAGCCTGAGCGCTTGCACTCTGGAACGCGGAGTGGCGCCAGCTCCTGCCCGGGCGTAGCCCGAGGCGCGTGCAAGTATTTAAGAACTTGTGAGCTCCCTTCCCCCACCCTCTTCCGCAACGCTAGACCTCTGGAGGAGACTGGTAACTTGCTCCTAACGAGATTTCCTCCTGGCAAGCAACACTCCCTTCTAGAGAGGAGATGGTACCCAGTAGCTCTTGAGCGAGATGCTGTTATCTTTACTGGGAGAAATCACCTTGTGCTGATGTCGATATTCTCCCCTCCCTCCCGCCCCCCCCCCCCCATGCTGTCTCATTGCTAAAGAGGCTTGTGGCTAGCATCCAAAGGCACAGTACCCTGTGCAAGGGACTTCTACTTTAGCTCAGCTGAAAGCCACACTGTTTAAAAGTGGCAAACTCTCCGGTCGCCACGAAGGGGAGCAGCGCTGTCTCCGCACCCGTTTGCTTTCCTCAAGTTAGTTTGTCAGCTTCCTTTCCGCCCAGCCCCTCTGCAAGGAGTGTTGCGTCCACACACATGTACGGACAAAGTAGCAAAGGCTGTGAACCTACTAGAAAAAAATATGGGCTGAGGCTATAGGCTCAGCTAGGCTGTATGGGACAAAGTACCAATGACAAGCAGTTACTGAATATACATTCTAAGTTAATTAAACTAGCCCTTTATCTTGCTCAATTTTCATGTATGGGATGGGCACTTTTTCACTCTTAGTAGTTGGAAACGAATATCCCCAGGCATGGTAATCATATTTACACACACACACACACACACACGTGTATGTGTATATATGTGTATGTGTATATGTTTATGTATACTTATATACATATAAATGTGTGTTTATATATGTATATTAGAAATATTACTAGGAGTTGTTTTTCCTGTCCCCCTCTTCCATTCAAACTACCTAGTGTACATGTGGCTTGAACTTAGTTTTCTTATCATTTGCATATACTATGTGAAGATACTTTATTTTTAATATTGCTATTTGTATTATAATTCAGCTATGATCTCCCCACAAATAAACCATACTCACTATTTGACGCAATTCTAAATTAAATTATCCAAAGCTTTCTGAATATGATAGGCATGCAGTTGCTAATTCTCAAAAACGTAAGATAAAAAAATGAAAATGTACCCCAAAACTTAACAGTTGTTTAATTTTCCCTTAAGAAAAAAAATAACATCAAAAGTGTAATCTGCTGAAAACTTTGATTCTAGCTGCCTTTTATCTAAGTCATGGGAATGCATGTGATGGAGCTTGGGCATCTTCAAGGGTGGCTGGTGGCTGGAGGGCAGAGGGGGTAAGTGGGATGACTGTCAGCTGAGGAAGCTTAATCTTACCAGAAGCTGGTCAAGTTGGCTGCTCTTGGTAACAGCCACCACATTAGAACATATGCTATGAGTGGGGACTATGTAATTAGCATTTTACAAGACTGTAAGTATGAACCTTCTTTGGGCTGGGCCTATCTAAGAAATGTGTGCCTTGACCAAACAAAAGAAAACTTACGGATTTTCAAATGGAAGTAAATTCTCTCTACTAAAGTCAATTTTGATGGTTTAGATGCTTTGATAAAAGGAATCCTGTGTCCCTTGATCTCTGAAGAAAAAGGGTATGGGGAGGTGGGTGGGGTTGGGCAGTGGGAGCCTCAAGGGAGGAAGACAAATACTTCTCTTGGGTGTCATAGTCAGGAGGGAGTTGTTCTGTTAACCGAAAGGCCACACTTCTCTGGTGGTTCAAGGTGGAAGGACAGCACAGAAGAGGAAGACCTGGGATGAGATGGATTGATACAGTAACTGGGCAGTGGGGGTTGGTATGAATGGAATCAGTCGGATTGGCTCACAACAGGGCAGGCTTCAGCCATTGTACATAGGGTCGACCTTTATATTAAAATCATGAGATTAATTAACAGGAGTGTGGTGAGCACCTATATGAAAATCTTTACCTTAGCCAAGAAATGGTCCATCCAAGATTATTTTTCTCAGGTAAACAGTGTCTGTTTCCAGGGAGAGCATTTTTTACAACCTGAGTTTCATTTTTGCATTTTGTATTTGATGGAGAGGGAAATATCCTGTATTCTCTCCTGGCTTGATTTAGTGATAAACTGCTTTATAGCAAAATCCATGTGTCCATTCTCTCCAAATGCCTGATATAAACTCCTAGGCATTGGTTCCTAGTGCATTAGCATGCGTGTCCTGGCTATCTCCCCTGAAGGATCTCTGACTACTGGCAGGACTTTCTCAGCAGACTGCAGAGGGCAGCAGCCTTGTGACTTCTGAACCTGGAGTGACTGTTCTTCTTGCTCTATTAATGGCCAAAGGTCATGGATTCTCTGCAGATTCTCTGGAGCTTAAAATAAAATTGCTTAGGAGAGAAAAATGGAATTATCAATTCAGGCAGTAAATAAGAAAGTTTCAAGAAATAACTAAGTAATAGATGCTTTTGAATTGTGATGTTGGCAAAGAATATTGAATACACCGTGGACTACTACAAGAACAACCAAATCTGTTTTGGAAGAAGCTCAACCAGATTGCTCCTTAGAAGCAAGGATGATGAGACTTTGTCTCACATACTTTGGACATGTGATCTGGAGGGGCCGGTCACTGGACACATGTTAAAGCAGAGGGTCAGCAAAGGAGAAGAAGGAGAAGAAGACCTTCAATGAGAGGAATTGCCAGTGACTGGAACAATGGGCTTAACACAATGGAGAATGTTAGAATAGCACAGGATCAGAGTAGGCTTTGAGGCTTTTGTTGTGTACTGTTGGAACTGACTCATAGCTGGCCCTGGAGTGGGTTTTCAGAAGCAGTAAGTAGCATGGGAAATCACCCATCGTTCTCCTGGGAGGCAGCTGCGACTTTCAAACCATATACCATGGGTTGCTGTAAGGCAGAGCCCATTTGTTGTGCTGTCGAGGTGAGCGACCCCAAGAGCAACATCCTGTACCAACCATCTTCATAATCTCTTACACTGTCAAGTCCATTTTCTACAGTTACTGTGTCAATCCACCTGATTGAGGTCCTTCATTTCTTTCATTGTCCCTCCACCTTCCCAAGCATGATGTGAGATAAAGCTTCATTATTTTTGCCTCCAGGGTACACTCTGGCTGCACCCTCTCCAAGGCCTATCTGTGTTCTTTTGGGATGCTCAGTACTCTTCTCTAACACCACATCTCAAAGGCAGCAATTCTTTTGCTGTCATCCTTAGTTGTTGTCCTCCTCAGATGCAAAGCAAGTGACTGAAAAGACTATGGCCTGAATCAGGTACACCTTAGCCCTCAAACTGACATAATTTCTCCTCAGTAATTTAGAGAGGCCCCTGACTAGACTTTCCTAGTACAATATGTCTTCTGAGCTCCTGACTACTGGTACCAAGTGTTACTGACTGTAGAGCCAAGTAAGAGGAAGTCGTTGAGTTTCAGTCTTTCCCCCATCTATCATATTGGCACCTAGCAACAATATATGGGCACTCTGGTGGTGCATGGTTAAGCTAACTAGGTTGGAGTTTGACACCACTACTTGTTCCATGGGAGAAGAGACCTGATAATTTTCTCTTGTGAAGATTACAGCCTTTGCAGCTTTAGGGGGCAGCTCCACCCTGTCCTGCAAGATTTCTAACAGATAGATAATAGATATGAGGCATTGGTGGCTCCCTGGTGGAATTCTTACCTTCCATGTGGGAGCTCGAGATTGGTTCCTAGCCTGTGCACCTCTGATGTGTTGTTTTAATGATGTACAGGAATCACTGAGCTTAGAGACGATAGATTAAGAAGAAAAGTCTAATGATCTACTTTAGAAAATGAGCCAGTGAAACCATGTTGGATGACAAAGATCTGATTTATAACCCCTTTTGGTGATGGGGTTATAAACAGGTGAGGCAGTGTTTGGTCACAGTGAGATGAACTAACTCCAAGGCAGGTAACACTGCTCCCAATAGATCATGTGAGGGTTCCCCATTTGGCAAGGACTGTACTGTATAGATGCTCACTCCCTGAACTCCACAGCCACTGGCTGCTTCTCATCCCATGTGGTCATATGGGAAAAAGCCCTGTAAAGGTGGAATGACTTGACAAAGGCATTTCAATGACAGAGAAAACAATAGAAATTGTTGTTGTTAGGTGCCATCAACCCTATGCACAAAAGATCTGAACCCTGTTTTATTCTGTGCCATCCTCATGCTTCCTGACACACAAGAGCACATTGCAGCAGTCACCATGTCACTTTACCTGGTTGAGGGTCTTCCTCTCCTTCGCAACATGTCCCTTTCCAAGGAATATCACCTCCTAGCAGTATTTCCAAACCTGGAAATTGAACCCTGGTACTAACCTATCAACTAACGCACCAGTATCTATCAATGGCTAACAACTAAGATAACAGTTAAGGTCCAAGATAGCAACTGCTGTCCAGGAAACCATTCTTCCTTTCACCCTCTTGACTTCTTTTCTTTAGGTTTTGGTCTCAAGATACTTTTTAGCTAGAGATCCCTTTACTTTACATGCCTAGGTGTTAGAGACTTATATGTCATCACAACTGCACAGTCTCCTTACCCTCTGTGGAGGTGGGATGGGGAGGGAAGGGGAATGCTCTCTAGTTGATTTTGAGAATTTTGATGGTGATCCTTTGGGTGACATAGCAGAGTTGTGCTTTGGAAGGTTTTCTTGTCTGTAATCTCTACAGAAGCAGATCATCATTCTGTGGTACTTCTGGGTGGGGCTCAAAACCACCTTGAGGTTAATTACCTGAACCTTCTATCATGTTGAGTCCAACTCATAGTTATCCATTGTCTGT